GGTTCACTGTTCGGGGGGGGGGGGGCTGTAAAAACAAGAAACTACAGTGAGTCCAGGTGGGGACGGTGATTCATCCATTTGCATATGCGCAAAGCAATTAAAAAAAACCCTCACGTGGCTATCTAGACAGTTCGTCACGCAATGCTTGCGGTTTGGGGAGGGATGTGTAGTCATCCCAACCTGAAAAAAAATATTCCTGACCAAATCTATAGTGGGAACATATCGCAATTACCTTGCCATGTGACCACAGCCAGACAATTAAAATGCTATTTAAAAGAAGACTACAAGGATTACACAGTCTTCTAAAACTAAAAGATTACTAGTGCAACCTTTAGGAGACATAAAACTTCCATTGACTTCAATCTTAGGATTGCACTGTGCAGCTCCCAGCCTGAAAATCCAAATATATCCCTATACCGATTGCACATGTTCACTTCTGCCATGATGTCCATTCTTTGCCTTTTAATCCCACTGACTACACTAGATGCACATCAGCGCTCCAACTGTCTTCTTTCCCATTCTGGAGTATGGACCAGGGTAGTCTCACCACTTTTAAAATACTCAGAAACAGTCAGTTGGGCTTTTAATATGGACTTAAAGCAATAAAGATAGCAGTCCTCTGATCTTGTTTTATACTGTTTATGCGGCATAGTGGGCAGAACTTGATCATGGAAAAGGAAGGTCAAAGACTGCAGTTTTCAATTTCTTTTCCCCTGAAGTGTGAACCTCCCCTCCAACTTGCCAGTATGTTCATGGGTAAAAAGCTGAGATTCATAGTACATGATTGTGAAGTACTTGAACTGATGCTCAATTCTTTGCTTGTGCAGCATTGGGCAGAAATATCAGATAATAGATAGCCAGATCCTATGTAGAAATAAGCACATTTTAGTCCTTTGATTTCAGAGAACCTGAATAAGCCTAATTTGGGGTTGCCCAGTTTGGTAGGTTTTGCTTCCAAGTAAACATGTACATAATGCTGCATGCTTCAGAGCATAACATTTCTGTCTGTGTTTTAACTGTGTCCTTGCTTTACAGGTTAAGAAAGCATAACAAACGAGAAGATGAAGTGTCTCTTGATCACTGTTGCCTTTGTAGCTTTGTTCTGCCCTTCTGGTAGGTATTATGGTGGTTCAATAAAAGAGATAATATATTGCAAAACTACATCAAGATAATGAGAAGAGGCATGGTAGAGTGGATCCAGACCTGTTCTGGAGAATGTGAGGGCTTGGACAGCGATTGATACTAGCTGAATTCTACGATACCAATTCAAGACCAAAAAATCTGTGAGTGGTTATTCGGCTGCTGAAGGAAAGGGCATTTTTGTGCAGTAGGTTTTTTCGTGCATTGGAATCAGTAGGTTTCCCCTTGCATTGGATCCTCAGGAATTTGTTCTATGGCAGATATTTAGGGGGGAGGAAATATCACTAGAGATTTCCTCCGCAGTTTCATGATCCTCAAAAACCAGGATCACGAAACTGCGGAGGAAATCGGGCGAAGCCCCGAGTCAAAATGCAGCCCCAGAGCTTCGGGTGTGAAATTGACACGTTTGTGTCGAGGCAAACGGCGCTGTGCTGCGAGGCAGCTCTCGTGAGAAATCACCCTCAATATTGTCCACGGAAAATAGTGAGAAAAAACCAGTTAAAAAGATTCTCTACTATGTTTGACTAAAAAAAAAAGACTGCAAAAGCTGAACTTCGGAGGGAAAGAAAGGGGGGGAGACAAAGAACATGGAAACTGGAAAGAGACAATAAAACTTGGAAACTGGAAACTTTCAAAATTAAAGGGGAAAGGCTTGGATTAATTTATCACACCCATAAGGGCAAAAGGCATGTAAAAATGCTGTGGCAAAAGAGCAGGCTACAGATGCATAAGAAGAAAGTAAAATTGTGTGAAAGATGAAATGATTGGGTTTCTTCTGATACAGATTTAGATGGGGGGGGGGAAACGACCTTAAAAACCTTAAAAACCTTTGCTCTGTATTAGTAATGATCAAGAAAGTGTTATTATGAGTAAATTAATGACAAAAGGTGGTGGAAAAAATAGGGATGTTAAATGGTTTAATGGTGTTTAATTATGTTTAAATATATTAGAATATTATACTTAAGTGGTAATTAATTTTAATAAATAGTTTAGATGATTTGGAGGGTTAATTTGAACCTATAAGACTAGTATAAAAGTAAAATATGTAAAAATTAGTAAATTTATAATTGGTATTTGTATTAAAAATGATGAATTGGTGAAATGACTGCTGTGGTAATAGGAAAGGTTAGAATATGTATGATTAATTGTTTAAATTGTATTTAATGATGTTTGAGCATTGTATCACGATGGTGTAATTAAGTTTTAGTTATTGTGGATTATATTTTAGTAGGATTGTGTTGGATAAAGATTAATTTTGAGACAGAGTTAGGTAAAGATCTGGCAAAATATAAGTGGAAGATTTAGGTGTAAAACTCTCATGTAATGAATAGCAGAGTTAATCTTTAAGCTAAGCTTGATGTATTGGTTCCAATAGATCGACAAATCAGTGTACATGTAGCAAAGATTGAACGAAAATTTAAAAGGGTAATGAAAGAGAAAAAAGAGAGATTTAAAAATTGTAATATTAAACCCTGATCTTATGCTGAAAACAAAGAATTGGCAGACTACTGAAAAATGTATAATAGTAATGGGTAGAACCTTGAATGGTGAAGCTGACGATGACTAAATATCTTATGCTATTAATATGAATATGCTATTAATATGAATGAACAGTGTCATTTGGCAAAACAGAGATAGAAGTAACTACTCAACATAGAATAAGAGCAAAATAATCATTTTGTGTTTAGTTTCTCTGTTAATCTGTGTTGCTGAAAAGATAAAATGCTATTTTAGGGTTTTTTGCATGTAGTTTTGTTGAAGTTCTTGTTTGTATGCATATGATATAGGCTTATATTATGAAAAGCCCAATAAATATATTGTAAAAAAAAAGTTATGGCCGCTGCTGCCTGTGGCAACGGCCACACGGGGAGGGCGCGAAACGTCCCCCTGGCTCCCTGGGCCCCAGGGTGGTGGCCTTGAACTCCTTGGCGCAAATTCCACCTCTCGCGTGTGATGTTCGAGCGGTAACACACACACGAGAGGTCATTTCGGCTCCCCCAGCTCTCGTTAGGGACTCTTTAAAAAGTTATGGCCGCCACCGCTGTCGGTGGCAGTTGCAACGGGTGCAGGGGGGGTGAGCCTCGGGGTGGTGGCCTTGGACTCGTAGGGGCAAATTCCACCTCTCACATGTAAGACGTCAATCCGGCTCCCCCGGCTCTCGTTAGGCACTCTTTAAAAAGTTATGGCCACCGCCGCTGGGGGCAACAGCTGCAACGGACGCAGAGGGGGGTGAAACGTTCTCTCGCCTCCCTGAGCCCCGGGGTGGTGGCCTTGGGCTCCTAGGTGCAAATTCCACCTCTCACGTGCGATGTTGCCGCTCAGACATTACATGCAAGAGGTCATTCCAGCTCCCCCAGCTCTCGTTAGGGGCTCTTTAAAAAGTTATGGCCGCGGGGGGAACAAAACGTTTTCCCGCCTCCCTGAGCCCTGGTTTGGTGGCCTTGGACTCCTAGGGGCAAATTCCACCTCTCGCGTGTGATGTCCGAGCGGCATTGCCACTTGGACATCACACGCAAGAGGTCATTCCAGCTCCCCCAGCTCTCGTTAGGGGCTGCAACAGCTGCGGGGGGCAAAATGTTCCCCTGCCTGAGCCCCGGGGTGGTGGCCTTGGACTCCTAGGGGCAAATTCCACCTCTCGTGTGTGATGTGCTTCTTGTCCTCCACTGCCACCACCACCCCTGTACCACAGGCCCCTGTCCCTGGGCAAGAAACCCATCCTGCCAGCCTACCAAAGCATGGCTCTAGGAGGGCATCGCCAGGGTCCAGAGTCTCCTTTTCCTGATCTGTTCTTGGGGCTCTACCAAGAGGCAGAAGAGCTGTTGGCATTGTCCAGGCACCAACAATTGCTAACACTCTTTTCAAAGGACTATGACAACAGTGTGTGTGTGTGTGTGGGGAAGCATCCTCCCCTTCCACATCACAACCCCCTTCTGCCCCAAGTACAACCCTCCCATGGCACCTCCCAGCCCAGCACCAGAAAGTAGCTGTCCCACCTGCTCCAAGCCCAGGGCCCGGTTTCCAGCTCACCATTTGGAAACGTTTCAGCAGTCTCCCCAGTGATCCTCTATGTGGCAGAGTGGCAGGTGCGCCATGCACATATCCAGAGGGGACAAACCCCCAGCACTTATCCTCCT